ATACTTCACAATATTTTAAATGTATAATATAAGCTAATTTATCATTTGATGATTAAACATAATATATTATGCAGATTATTTTGTATAAATACTTAACAATTTACATTGCCCAATATACCTCGGACATTGTATACAATGCCCGGTCACTGTGTACAATGCCCGGGCATTATATACATTGTCCGAATTTTCCATTTTGCCCGTAACATATATATGTAGTATAAAATATAAATATAATATTACAATAAACCTTTATGATATGTATGACTTTTGAAAGTAAAGTTATCATGGACAAAATTTAATATTGTGCTCCATGTATTGAGAATATTTTTTATTTGCAATATTATGTTGTCTATGTTATCGAATCAGATTTTAGTATTTTACAATGAATTTGTATTACTGCTAATTAATGCAATATTAGTATCTCAAAACTACAAAATTGCATAATTGTAGGAGTAGTCATTATTTCAAAATATGTATAGAAATTTACATATAAAAACACCATTCAAATTCCATCTATTATTAATAGAATTTTATATGAGTTGTATTTTAAACTTATTTGATTACTTGGATTTACTATCATTTATCACACGTCATTATTTCTAATGTTTTAGAGTAATATTATAATTCAATTTACATTTTTCATTAAAACTGAATACAATTTTAGGAATCTTTCAATACCTAGTTAAGTGTTTCACAGGTAACACTATGTTAGAATTATAAAATTAGAATTAATTTTTTCTTTTTGAAGTTTGTTGTGCGATATCAGATAGACATAATTTAAGTTCTTAAGTATGTTTATTTGTTTGTAGTCTTACAGATATTAATTATAAAATAATTTTTTGTTTGTATTCACAATACAGTACCTATATTACAGATTTATTGTTTTGATATAATTGTCAATGTTATTTTTCAATTGGGTGTATTTGACTGTACCTATACCTATACTTAGTTACGGAATTTTCAACACAACAAGTACTATTCTGTATACTCTAATTCTTAACTTCACCCAGCTCTCTAAATAATATGTGTATTCGGTTTGTAATAAAATTAATTTCTCATCAGTGTTWTAACAAAAATTTAACATCATAAACGGCTCAGCTGCCACAATAATAATTGTGTAAAAAATAAGTTTTTTCTCGTTTTCTCTTCTATCGCATTAAAAGTAGTGTAAATCACGTGGGTTTGGGTTCGTGCGAGTTGAATTTGAATGAAAATGTTCATTTGAGTGTTTGACGCATTTGATAATTTTTTCATCACGTTTTCACGGTGCCGCAAGATGTGCGTCGGCATTGACGACTTATTTTGTTTCACATGTGAGTTTATAACATATAACTATATAAGTATATGACATATAATATATATATATTAATTTATTATATTTAAAAAACAAGAATCGTTTTATAGTAATACGTTCTTCACCATCTCGTACAGTCGTACGTGTTATAAATGTTATTCGTACCTATCCATTTTGGAGTACTTTAAATATGTATGTGTTATTAGTAGGTATATCTAATATGAGTTATTTGACAATCTTATATGTTACCTATATAATATAATATTGTATTATAAAATATAGGTAAAGCCGTAAGGTATCTGATATAAATCGGAACAGGACTCGGTGTCCTGCGCATGTTAGGTGATTATCTACACAGATTTTATTGTGCACATAGCACGTCATGCCTCAGGCGGTACTGCTTATTAATGGGTGGAGACGGTAATATATATTATAATAGAGGTTAGGATTATAAATGTTTTATACCTATTTATCATCGTAATAAAATTCGAATTTAAACACATCGGTTACTTCTATTATTTTTATTTTGTTTATTGTTTTGAAGTAATTGGCCGTACTGGTTAGTTTTTGCACTGCCACAGCCCACAGGTGCCAAAATCCTAAATACCGGCGCATGCAAACCATGTGTGTTCAGTGTTCACGATGTTTAATGTTTATCGTTAGACGATTAAGAGGATGTTACATAACCATTTTTTGTCTCCGTCTTACAAGTGCATAACATACCAAATTTACGCTTAGCATGTCGTCACGTTTAGCTCTGTTAGTTTATAAATTAGAGAGAATCAACCTATTATGAAACTTGATGTTAATAACATTATCTGTGTTTGTATGTAGGTTTTTTTTATCGATTGTACAATTTTGTAGTAAGTTAATAGTTATGCGTATATAAAATTCGTAAATTAATAATGCTCATAAGTCACTTAAAAACCAAATTATCTTAAAAGATAACGCAACATACAAACATAGATAATGTTCTTACCATCTAGTTTTAAAATAGGTAAATTTACTTTAATTTTTAAATTAACGGAGCTAAACGTAATCTGTTGAATATACGTTTTCTATGTTATACACTTGTAAGAAGGAGACAACAAATGGTTGTGTAGTAGCGTCCTCTTAAAAATTGTGTAGCCGCAGTGGTGCCAATATATGACAATTGTCATAGGGGATTTTAGTAGGTAGGAGGGTTATCTTTTTCATTCTAAATAATAAATATATTAGACATTACATGCAGTTAATTGTAAACTAAAAGTCGATAATATTTTACAAAAATTATACTTGGTGAATGGTAAGTTATAATTACAAGAAATAGGTGATGGGTGTCAACATTTATATGGAGATGTCTTAAGTAAAATGTTGGACTTTGCCACTTTGGCGTCACTGTGTAGCCATGTACCTACGTATAATTTATAAGCTTATAAGTTATAACGAATACTCTTATATTTTTATGTAAAAAATTATTATGATAAACATTTCACGTTTGTGATTAATATCGTCAAATGTTTAATCACTACTCTACATCTAAAGCTAAGCTACAAACTGAAGTAAATCAAAAATTACAAGTTTAAATCGTAAAAACTCTTGTCATAGGCACAATTTCATTAAAAAAGACTAAGGGTGCTTATGCTATGCATTTTATAATTTTTTTTTTTTTTTTTTTTTGAAAGAAGAAGTTTTTGATACATAAGCACGATCATAACTTGAAGGTGCTAATTTTAAAATTAGGAGTGCTAATACCCTCTAAGCCCCCTCCCCCCTATCTGCGCCTATGACTATTATATATTATTACATTTGTATTTGACTTTTAAATATCATATGTATTATAACATTATATAATATATAATGCACAAAACGATATTATCTGCGTTTTAATCTTGAAATATTTTTTTTCGTATTTTTCCTAGACCAGTATAATAAAATAATAATGATTGCACGACATGCGCACGCTGGTTCCGTTGTATGCACCGCGTGAATGCAGTGGAGATATAGTATTATATTATTATTGTGTATGATGCACGTATTGCAGTCAACGTCGCTATTGCTATGATATAATAACGAGTGTATTACTGTAACGCCAATACCTCAATAAATATAAAGTATAATCGTTTGAATAAGAGAATAAGACATATTTTGTTAATATTTTCTTAGTAACAAAGTTTTATTCGAGACTTGATTTTCCAAAAGCAGGAAGGTATTATATAGAAATTTAATTTTAATTTTAAGGTTACCGACTAAATATTCTTGAGGATTTTAAAATAGATTCGTATGCATGGTCAAGTATTTTCAATAAATTTGGCGTTATTATTTTTAACGAATACGCTTGATTTTTTTTTTAACCTTATTGATCAAATTATACTAATTATAGTGTACCTGTACTCTGTAGTGCATCGATTCTGAACCTTTTTAGTTTCGCAACCTCCAAAATAAATACATAAAATATGGTCAATCGCTTCGCGACCCCTCTATCTATAATAGGTACATATTTAAACAACAAAATATCCTATTAATAACTAAACTAAATTTACCATTTTGAATAACAATTTTTAAATACTATGTATAGTAATTTAAACTTGTCACARGTAAACGTTATGTTATATTTATATCAGCATTTTATTATTTTTGACCTACGTGACCCCCATGTGCGAGACACGCTCAATGTAGCGTATAAAAATAAATTTAAAAAAGTATTGTTCATACTTGTAATATCTATTATAATGATTGTTATATTATAATATAGATTTTTATACCTTCGCTTTATTTGATATAATATATTATAGGACACGTATAGAATTGCT